CGTGGCGATGATGCTGCGCGCGGCAGGGCTGGTGGCTATAAGTCGGACGTTCGGGTCGGGGGTGCAGTGCTGTCCAGGCTCCGCAGGTCAGACTCCCAGGTCCACCTGTGGGAACGACGGAAGCAGAAAACAGCTCTCTTTCCACAGATTTTTAAAGACGGGTGTGCTGCCCACAGCAGGCCAGAGCGGGATCAGAGCCTGCACGGCTGCTGGGAGTTGGCAGGGAGGGGATGTGTGTGTGCAGGCGTGGCCAGTGCGCGCTCAGGTGGGGTCCGTGTAGGGGGCACCTGGGCTACTGAGGACTTCACTAAGGCAGCCCCCACGGCGGGAGTGCAGCCAGGTTAGCGAGGACACGGGGACGGGAGGGCAGCAGGGAGCCAGCCTCAGACCGCCCAGGAGTCTGTAGGCGGGAGAGGGAGGTGGGCAGTGGGAAGCAGAGGCTTTCTTAACTTCTCTGTTAGTCCTCACCTGAGGATGTTTTCCTGTTGCTTTTCAGAGAGAGTGGAAGGGAAGGAGGGAGGGGGCGAGAGAGAGAGACGTCAGTGTGCAAGAGACACAGGGATTGGCTGCCTCCCACACGCTCCCGACCAGCACGTGCTCTTGACCGAATGGAACCTGAGACCTCTGGTGGGTGGGCCGATGCTCCAGCCACTGAGACACACCGGCCAGGGAGGTTTTCTTACATTTTTGAAGAAATAGGGTGCTGTCGGCGACAGTCCAGTAGGAGGCGAGGACTGATGGGTGTAACTGCAGTAACGCAGGGGCAGCCCTCGCAGGGGCGGGCTGAGCGCAGGCCTTTCATCCAGAGGAACAAGGTTCAGCTCCACTGATCCGAACGCGTCCCCTCTCAGCCACCGGTCTTCCCCCTCTCTCTCCCCCCCCCCTCCCCTTCCCCCTCTTTCTCTCTCCCTCTCTCTCTCCCCCTCCCATTTAATATCTATTAGCAGCCACGGCTCATGTTTTGTGGGACATACGGGAGAAATGTCACTTTAGGAGTGCAGGGTGGGACGGGAGCGGGACTCTATAAAATTTAATGTTCCCTTCAGCCCGTGATTCATGGTGGTTATGGCAGGACAACTTTATGGTGCGCTTCCTGCATATAGAGAATTTCAAGTGTTAATATATCGCTTCGGAGAGCAGGGCAACTTAATGAAAGGCTTTCAGGAAATGAAAAACAACAGCCTGCAGAGTGGTTCCATATGCGCACAGCCCGGCTCCTGGGAAGGGCACTGCTGTCTGCCCCACAGCTCAGGCCCTGCCGTCCACAGGAGCAGCTAGTCCAGAGGAGGGGGGAGCGCAGGTCCGGAGGAGGGGGGAGGGCTGGCCCTGAGGAGGGCGGAGGGCTGATCCGGGTGAGGGGGGAGCCAGGTCCACCTGGCCCTGAGGAGGGCAGAGGGCTGGCCCTGAGGAGGGGGGAGGGCTGATCCCGGGAAGGGGGAGCGCAGGTCCAGAAGAGGGGGGAGTACTGGCCCTGAGGAGGGCAGAGCCACTGGGGGCCGAGTGAGGGCTCCAGGGGAAGTGAGGAGTGAAGGGTCAGGGGTTCATGCTTGAAGTGTCAGGTTGCTGCCTCCAAACAAATACCAGCGTGACCCTCACAGCCTGCGGGGTGTGTCCCTACACTCCTGGTCATGTTTTCCTTGGGAGTGTCCTCAGGTGCCTGTAGGAAGCGCCCTCTCACCCGCAGCAGAGCTGTTGTTTGCTCAGAAGCTCCTCCTGCTGGTCACCCTCAGGCCCAGGAAGGCCCTCCTGTCCATCCCCCTCCCGCCAGGGGCTGGCAGGCGCGGGG